CAGTGTTTTCCAGAAGTCTTGAGCCACCTCCCCATTTCTTTATAATCTGCTTCAAAGGAGACAGACGATCTTGTAATATTTTAAAGTGCTATTAGGCAAAGCTCTCCTGGCTTTCTCAAGACCTTTCACATTATGGTCTCAGGAAATTGGCTTTTTTCATTCATTTGTGTCCTTACAATGAATAAATAAATATCAATGTGAAAACCGGAAAAAAGTAGAGGACAAAATAAGAAGCGACAAACCTAAAAGACACTGAACTATACAGAGCAGATGGAGAGGAGCTGGAAGTCTTAAAGAAACAGAAAAAAAACGCCTCATGTGAAACTGTCTCAGTAGATGGACGCTTTCAGGAAGCTGTTCTTAGGAAAGGGGAAACCAGGAGAGAAGGGAGAGGTACTTCAAATTACACAAGCACTGAACTGAGAGTCAGCAAAAACACATCTTATGGAGTGAGGAGTCACATTTTACATTTTTGCTCATCGATATGTACAGAGGAGAGGGGTGCAACAGTGAGCGTCTGCAAGTCTCTGAATGGCAAATCTTCATTTTTCAGCCTCACAACGATCCCAAACAAAGCACAGGGATATTAAAAAACACACAACACCATCAGGCAGGGACTGGCCTCCCCAGAGCCTGAACTTCAACATTATTGAAGCAGTGTGGGATCACTCTGACAGCGAACACAGCAGCAGGCACCAGCGCCCAAAGAAGCGCTTTGAATGTTTTTCGGGGCGGCTGTGACACATCGACAGCTACATTTATTGGCAGCTAATCAGCTTGTTGCTTATTCTTTCACTCACTGCCTGTGGGAACAGCCCTTTCTCTCCTGTATTCGGGTACAGCACATTAACATTGAGGCTGCTGGCAGGAGTGTGCTACAGCCCTCCTCTGTGTCTCTGTGCCAGGCTTTGCCCTCATAGATTATCTCTACAAGAATGTGACCTCCTGCAGCTCCTCTCAGCTCAGGACTCCCTCTAAAAAAAATTCTGTCAGTGGGAAAGGATAAAAGCTTTTAATCTGCTGCTACAAACAAAAGCAGGAATGCAACGCTCTGAGGACTTTTGGCAATTTCTTCCTCTCGTGTTTGATAAACACCGACCTTGAACTCTTTGCTGAGTTAATTCTTTGTCTACACCAAACCAAAGACAAAATAACTCAAAATAGGTTTCTTTTTTTAAAGAAAATCCTGCCTGCTTCGTGGACCCACAGGAAAAAAAAAGATCTTACAGAGCAAATAAATGATCTCAGATCTGCAATTTCGACATTAGTTAGTAGTTAGAAGTCCCTCTGCGTAATTACATGGAGCAGAGCAGGTGCCCAGGATCATCTTACTGGCCTTTACAGTAACACACACACACACACATACACACACACTCTTGTTTTGATATCTTAGTGAGGACATCTCATTGATTCTTTCCTTAGTCGCTTACCCTAACCACCAACCTAAACCTAACCCTTAGCCTGACCTACCTAACCATAACCTAATTGTAACCCTGTCACTAAAACCACATTGAGTTTCAAAAATGCCGGGCACTTTTGTCCTCATAAGTGAACGTTGGTCCCCACAAGTAACGCAACATTACAGTTTTCAGTCCTCACAACGACATCTAAACAGGCACACACAC